CTCAAATATAAATTTTTTTCAAATATAATTTTTTAGTAAATGCTACAAAGGAACCTTTAAAATTCCAAGAGCATTTGGGATAATTCATATACCTTAATAAAGTCTATGGTATATATAGGAAAGATAACCATGCTCTAAGATTTTTTCAATGAACTATTCTCAATAATGGAGAGACTTACACTTGATTGCGAGATGAACAGACTACACAGCGATTGTCACAATTTCACAGCATTAGCTCATGTTGAAACACTTTCTTTAGAATCATATTGCTTTGTTATTACTTTAAAATTTGGGGTTTTCAAAGAAAGTTCTAGAAAAGTGAGATAAATTTAGACAAAGACTCACTTCTGTCACATTATTATTAAAGCTATTTCTTTGACTAAAATGAATCCCAAGTTAAACTTTCAAATAACCTTTCTTGATGAAATTATAAGCGAAGGTATTATCTTTTTTAGGTTTTACAGAACAACTCACTTTTCCTTATAGCAATTGATATCTTTTATTCCACGCCTCAAAAATCTAGTTTATGGCACAGTATTAAGCGTGGTTTGCAATCTCCCCAGAAGTGTTTAACTTACCACCCAGGAGCCTGCTTCTGAGGAAGTGTAACCTACAGACCTGCCCAGGCATATATGGGGAACTGAGCTTTCAGCACAGGACTGTAGGCTTCTTCTGATTGGTTAGACTCTTCCTTGAAAGAAATGACTTTGCAGTGATTGGCCTGGCAGAATGCTGGAAGTCCCACCCAGCCATTAGCCCTAAGGAACCTTTAAGTACCACATCAACTAGTAACTAGTAGTAAACCATTAATGCTTTCAGACAAGATATAAAATAAACTTTCTTTAATTTGTGTGGTGAATTAGATGGCTCAACAGTAATCACTCAAAAAAATATTGAGTTCCATGGTCTTATTTACGGGGAGTTCAGGAGACTGCCTATCGTTCAGATATGTACTAAAATATAGACCTCCAGTGATAATCTTAATACTGAGTAACTAGAAAATGGCATCAGAAATTATTTTCTCTTACTCATATTAAATATTGCCTTGCCTCTTCTCTGCCTGGGAAGTGAGTAGTTAAGAGAAGAATCACCAGTTTAGAGAAAAGATTTCTGCCCAGTGGGAAAACTGTTTGAAGGAGGAACCAAACTGAAGTACATTTCCCAGTGGCGCTACTAAATGACCCTTTATTCTCCAACTGGAAAAACATAGTTATCAAACCTAGTTTTTGCGTTCCACTGAGAAGGTTTTGTTTCAGTCTGTGAGCTGGTGATTATTAAGGCAGCACAAGCAATCCCTCCTGTAGGTTCTGTCATTGGTTTTCAATCAAGATGATTGAATGAGTCCTCCTTGGGTCTAACAAGAAACTGCTCAAGTGATTTCCAGGTGCATCAGAGGCTTGGTTGTGGTGCAATATAGTAAACTCTGGACCTAGAATCCTTGGCTTATATTCTGGCCCTGCCACTTCTTATCTGCGTGAACTCAGGCAGGTTACTCTGTGGATAATCATGGTACCGACAGTACAGAATTTTGTGGGAATTAAATGAGTTAATTTGTTCTAGATTTAGAAGAGTACCAGCATGCACACAGTCCTTGCTTTTGTAATTTTAGCAATATTCACAATTGGCTTGTGACTTATAGTTAGTTACGTCTGAGATTCTGAGATCAGTCATTAGACGTTAGAATAGGTATTCTGCCTATTAAAACAGGAGGAAAGGTTAATTGATGAGCAGATACAGGATTTAGAAAAGGGTATGGAGACACCTGAGTGGAAATCCTTAGGTCCTCCTAGGCAGGTACTTATCACGTTACTTACACTGATGTCATGAGGTTATAGCCCAAACACAGAGAATTGCAAAGATATCTCTCTATACCTCAATTTCCTGTTAAAGGCTTCCATTACAAGGCATTTATCTATTCACCCAAGGGCTCTAATTTCCATGTAGAAAGCCTTTAGGCACAAACATTAGACACATTTCAGATTTGAAGTGAAGCTGGCTGTTTCAATTGGTCTGGGACCAATTAGAATGAAGTTGCTGGTCAAAACAAGTTCTGAAAGAGTCAGGACAGGAGCTATGAATTAACATTGTCCAAACCCTACTTGTGGGCTGGGAATTTAGCTCAGTGGTTCTGCTGCCTGCCTTGCAAGGACAAGGACCTAAATTCGATTTCCTGGTACCAAAAAAAAAAAAAAAAAAAAAAAAAAAGAAAAGAGAGAGAGAGAGAGAAATGTGTTAGGTCAGGCGTGGTGGCGCACGCCTGTAATCCCAGCACTTGGGAGGCTGAGGCAGGAGGATTGCTGTGAGTTTGAGACCAGCCTGGACTACGTAGTGAGTTCCAGGTCAGTCTCAACTACATAGTGAAACCCTGTCTCAACAAACAAACAAAAAACAAACCCTACTTGCTTTTCCTCTGCTAAAGCCTGTGTGAGTGAGCACCTCCAATGCCAGATTCTTGCTGCCTGCCTGCCTGACTACAGTGTAGTGTGAATTAGTTTTAGTATTGGTCTTACATCAACCAGACAGTTTCATTCTAAGGCTTTTATCTCTAACAGTGAAATGAAAGTCTTTGCTCTTTTAGAAGGGAATTCAGAACTTCTAGGGCAGATGGGAGATGGTTGGGGAGATAGGAACAAAATTACACCATCCATAAAGTTAACCTTGAAGGGTGAACCTGATTTAGGCTTTTTAGACAGGTGGGCAAGGTAAGAGGAACAAGGCACCCCTGGCTCTCCTGCTGTTCTCCTCGACAAGGCTCTCGGGAAGGGGCAGTGGCGGCTGATCAGAGCATGACGTTGGAGTCTGACACTGAAAGATGAGCATTTCATAACATTTCCATGACGAGTCCACTTTACGGCTAACCTTTTCAAAGAGCACAGTTATTACATTTTCCTAGCTCTGAAAATACAGGTGATGATCCCGCTCTGCTCCTCCAGGAGTAAATCTAAGGCACACAATAGGCCATGAAGAAAAGCTGTAGTTATTTAGATCCAGTCTGGGGACGTGGATGAAGGCCTGAATGGAGACACTTTAGGCTAACAGACTTTCCCTGTTTGGAAATAATATGATAGCAGGAGTTGTGGTCGGAAAATGTTTATACTTCAAGTTTGCTTGCCTTTCGACTTTTTGAACTTACTTTAAAAAAAAAAAAGATCTGGCTCTGCAATATTTGAGTTACCAAAATGGAGAGTGTTGGTGGGTGATTTAACTGAGGGATAAACAAGATACTTGGCACTCAGGTACATATTTTAGAGAGCACTTTAAAAGCCTGGGACATCACGAAGATGTCTAGTGTCCTGACATATAGTTTTTAGCAAGTTCAGCTGAGCTTAGCTCAGTGATAATTCCTTCGCCAAACTCCCAGCTGCCTCTTGGTGTTCCAAGCCTGTACTCCTGTACAATAAGGGCAGAGAGAGACCCCACGAAGTGAGAGTTTCACCCAGAAGAGTCACAGCCAACATAGATGGGTATGGAGAGTATCAGGGAATCTCATGATGGAAATGGGAATTTGTGGGATTACATAGTCCAGAGTGGCGGTCATGTTGGTAAGAAGATGGTGTCAGGGGGTACAGAACATGCTAGAACACCCAAGTTCAATTCTAAACACAACCAGCCCTAGCTTGGTGACCTGGGAAGTCACTTAATCTTCTTGACCTCAGTTCCTCATGTGTGAATCTGAGATAAAAATAAAATGGAAGTAGTAGCCCCAAATTCAAAAGATTTGTAAGGGTATCATATAAATTTAATGCTCTCAGTAGGTTTATTCCTTCTTGACATGTTTGGCTATGCTGTAGTGCCATGTGCCGTGAATGTTTTTGTATTTATTTATTCTTTCCTATATTCCTCCATTCAGTGATCATAGAGAATCAGAACTGAGTAACTGGAAAGACTTTTGAGTTTATATAATTCTCTCTTTCCATTTTTGAAATTAAGAGAATGAAGGCTGAAGAGGTTGAATAACTTATTAGAAGCCATTGCTTCTTAGAGTGCAAGAACTTCTATTGCTGCACCTTAAAGAAGACACTAAATAGTGATAGCACCAGTATGTGCTAATGCTATTTTAGAGTTCTCAGTGTGTTGTCACATTCATTATGTCTTATTGGTCTTCCCAACATTTTTACAAGATATGCAAGATGGGTTTCAGGTGTGGAAGATATATTGTCCTTAGCTAACTTTCTAGATGGTAAAGCTAGTTCTTGGTTGGGGCCAAAATCGTAACTCAAATGTCTTGAGTTTAGGCTTCTAATCTGAAAAACTTCTTGTGGACATTTTAAATCTTTACTCTTGGATCTTTGTGTTCCCAGGTACGTTTGTAGCCTTTTTTTTCCAGCTTTAATTGAGTTTATTGGTACATTTTAGGAGTTTGTAGCCTTTTTAGGGCACTGAAGTCCACAGAGATTAGATGGCTTGGCCAAGATCTAATGGTGTCAGAGCTGAGACAGGATTTTGTGTTCTAGTGATTGCTCTTTCCACTGTGTTGTGCTAGAAACCTCCCTTTTCATGGTATTCCTATAAGGGCCAGTGAGGGAGGTATTCATATGAGGCAGGTCTGGAATTCTTGGATCCAAATATTTTATTATGAGAGATTCTACCCCCAAAGTTAGAAGGGTTAGGGTTCTGTGAGTTTGAGAATCTTTAGATTATGTGGCTTTGGGTATTATTTTTTCCTGTGAAGCTTTTGGACCTAGGGATGCTCTTTAAAAACTCAGATTGGCCCCCATGGCTCTGAGATTACTGCACAAATCCTACCATGACTCACATTTCAACCCTGCCTTAATAAAGGAAGAATGATCTGGAGTGAGGACCATGGAGAGGTGCCTGGCTTCAAAGGGGAGGAAGCAGAAAGCCTCCAGCATGGTCATTAGCACTAGAAAAGGAGTAGAGGCTCAGATCAGGCAAGAATGTAGGTAGTTTACAGGTGTAGGTTATTGTACTCATTAGAAACCTCCATGCAGGGAGAAAGGAGCGCGATATCCCACAGAGGGGTCAACATCTACATGAGGTGGTGGATAAATCAGTCACAAATGTTTATTGAATTCAGTGAATGAAAAGAGTCCCTCTCCAGCACACCCAAGGTAATCACAAATATATCCCCCACATGTCCCACTGGAATAACCTTAAAAGGCAAAGCCAGAACTCTCAAGCAAGTGCATATTCAAACGTTCCTTTGTCAAACTCTTCAACTTCATCTTCCCACGTGGAGGAAGGCATGCTACTGTATGGGTCTAACAGGATTTTGAAGCATCGGATAATAAGAAGTCCCAAGAAGATACACAAAATCCCAACAAAAGCAAAGCCAGTCTTTTGCTCCAGAGTCAATGAGAAAGTGGAGACTTCGTGGACACTCATCTTAGCTGAAGAGTTGCCGCAGTAGATGCTACTCATTATTCCTGGGTACATCCTTGTGGCTCTTCAGAATTCCTGCTGGCATCAACGCCTGGCCTAGGTACAAAGTTGGACTCAGTTTAGTTTTACCCTGGCATGGTATCGGGCAGGAAGTTGTCCCATAAAATCTGATATTTTTTCAACTCCTCCACTTAACTCACGAAAGGATGTTGGAAAACATCATCAGGTATGGATCAGAACTTACTGTACTGTGCCAATTACAGAATTACCTTTCTGGGCACATAAAGCTGCCTACAGAGTCTAACTATGAAATCAATTGTGAAGGTGAACATGCAACTAATTAACCCTAGAAGTCTTTGGGTCATTGCTAGGTTATTGCTGCTGCTTCTTAGAATTTGCCTATAATTTTCACTTCCTTTTTGCATGTGTGGATAATTCCACAAATATACATAGAGTACATGCTGCTTATGCCATTTGAATTCCATACCACAGGGGCCATCTCCCGTGACATTTCATCTGATATCTACTGATTCTTTTAAACAGGTGTAATGTCTTCTCTCTTCACCCCTTCAGCTCCTATACTTCTGTGCTTGCATTTTTTTCCTCCCCTATGGCGGATACACTAAATATGATTTTGTTAAAGAAAAAAATTGTATTTTTAAAAGGTGAAAGATTTATATGATCTGAAGAGAAACCAGAGTATTGTGTTTTTTAAAAATTATGTCAATACCAGCAATGCCCAATGTAGCACCTTGCTAGTGACAACAGCAATGGTTGTGGGTCATCAGCTACCTTCCCACTTTCCCCATGAGTTCTTGGAGCCCCCTAAATTACAGAAAATTCCAGGTAAACAGCACATTTTTTTTCTGCAAATTCATCTTCAAGATAAACCTCCAGGTCCTTTACTTCCAGATGTCTATCCCTAAACCCCTACTATATTGGATTCTAAAAATACAGCTAACATGCTCAGAAAGTTTATGCTGAATTGAAACAAAATAGTTTCCCCATCTGATGTCTCAAGAAGTTAAATTAATTAATCACTGTAAAAATAAAGATAGCTAGTTAGAGCAAATGATTACTAATATATGGCAACTGTACAGGACTGTCACCAATAACTTATCATCCAGTAACTGAGAATGATAGGTTTTTTCTTTTTGTTATTGTTTCTTTTGATCATTTTCTAAAATTATGTTTATTTTAAATGACTGGCCTTTGAGATTATTTAGGACCAAGTGTTCAGAGAAGAACAGAGACAGTAAGAAATGGAAAGCAAGGAGTGAAGAAAGTAATTATGAACCTTGTAGCTTTCAGAAATATTCAGTAAATAATACAACCAATCAATCAATACCAATCCATATTGTTTTTTATAACTTGAACTGGTAGAGATATTCAGTACTAGGGTATGCTAGTTGTTTGAGTTTTTTGCTGTTGTTTAATAAAATTGTTTCACACCACTCTGTTAAATTTCTTTCCAACAAATCAAATCATTTTATACCCTAATTAATGAAAATATAATGAACTTAATTTTTTAAAGGGTCACTTAAGAGGCTCAGCGTGATCTTTCTGAGGACTGAATTCCCATACTATTTATCCTGCAAAAGGCGTAGGAGAGCAAACTATCTAATGACGCTGAAAATTGACTGGGTGCTTTTTTCCAGCTAAGTTTCTGCTTTTCTTGTTTTTGTCAATGAGAGGTCATTTGCCGAGATACCTGTGTACCCTGATCTGCCTGTTTAATGGGTGGAAAAATGGAAAAGCAGGATGTTTCTACCTGGAGACACTTCAGCAAGCCCATGTCATGTAGCTGACTGGTTTAGACAAGTCACTTGTTTTAACTGCTTTTTTTGTTTTTCACTAGAGCAAAACCTCAGTAGGCTGTGTCATCCAATTTTCCAGGGTTATGTGGGTAGCAGGAGGAAATACAGCTGGCTTGTGGGTGGACACTGTCACGTGCCCGGTGGGGTCCCTGCTGCGAGACCGCTGGGAGTGCTGCAGCCTTTAGCTTTGAATATGTGGCAGGGGCGGTGCCATCTGCAGACAGCTGCCCAAGGTCACGGCTCTTCCCAGAGAAGGTCGTTATTCAACCAAGGTGTTAGCATGCAGGCGAGGCCGTCTGGACTCAAAGGCAGGCAGCTCTCCATGCAGCTCTGTTCCACATGGGGTCTGCTGAGCCGTCACTGGGTCCACCTCACGGCTCAGCTTCTGCTCACACCTGCTTGGTTCTCCACCCTCGTGCATGTGCTGAGCCCAAGCGACATCCTAAATAGCTGTGGGACATGGCACAGGGACCGAACTCAGGGCCTGGTTTCAGGAGGCCCAGCTAACAAGCACTGGCATCACAAAAGTAAAACACCTGGGCAATTTTAATGATGGGTTCATTGTCCAGTGAGCTCATTTTGCCAACAGGTAGAAAGAGCTTAAACTGTGTATAGTTAGGGTATTAGCTAAATTTACTCCGATGTTTTTTAAAAAAATCGTAATGTAGACACACGTACAGGGTCATAGCTCATCACTGGAGGAGTTAAGTCATTTGGTTCTTGGTCAATAATTAAGCCACAGCGCTCTGCCACCAACACACAAAACCAACCAATGAACAAAAAGAGGTGTGGTCTAGATGTAGCAGAGATACTCACCTCATTTATCTCTTAGATTAATACAAGGTATCTTCCCAGTTAGGGTGAAGGTTGGAGTTGAAGTTAGGGGAATAGCAGATAATGCTTTGAGCTTTGAGTCTCAGGGAATATAGTAGGAAAAAAACTATTTCTTAAGAAGTAACCACATTGTGGGTGTCTGATAAATGTCTGAGTTGAACTTTGAATATGTGTAAGAATATAGTTTTGCTGAATAAAGTTATTATTATTTTTAAAATCTAGATAAAGCATCCAGAAAATAGGAAATGTATTTAACTAAAATTAAATGAATGAGAAAACTTGTTTGATTGCAAAAAGTGGTCTTGAAGATTGTTAAAAACATTCAATAGCTCTTTTGGTGTTTGGTGTTTCTTCTTTTTACTCTCAAATTGGCCAATGTAGCATTCCCAGAAAAATCCATAGGAGTTTTAGTGTGTAAAGGTAGAGAAAGTAGATCTTTCCTAAAAACTTTGTGAGTTTTCTAAGACATGGTATAGTTAGCATATTATTTTGACATGAATCTGCACCCAGAAGTTCAGAGTTAAATTATGCATTCATTTGTAGTGACTTTGGTCACATTAATATTTCTGCTGTAATTATCTCTTCCTCCTCTATCCCTGTTCTCTACGTTATGTGGATGTTATGTTAGCCAAGAAGATTATTATAAGATACTTGGAAGGCTTTTGGCATCAGGTAGGGGAATGGAAAATGAATGGATATACAGAATCACCTAGTAAATGAATGAAGTCATTGCTTTTAAGTTCCTTTAAGGGACATGCAGATGGCTATCACATGACATTAAAGAATTTATGACCATTCTATATCTCTATTATTCAGACAACTGTAGAAGAAACATAGTGCAACTAGAGAAAATGCTGAAAAGTGACCAAAAACTTTAAAGATATTTCAGGAAGTCTAAAAAGTCCAATGGACTCAAGGTAACAAGTACTTTTCCAACTTGTTTATTGAACAAATGTATATTGCATATCTGTTCTGTCGGCACTGTCCTAGGTGCTAAATAATTGTGACCTTGATAATAACGCATATCTGTCATACTAAGTGTCATATCCCAGGAGAAGAGCTACACACAATTATTTTTAAATGCCTAACTCTATTCTATATGTATATGTACTTGTATATGTATATGTAATGCCAGGCAGTCACGAGCATAGATGCTGTGAGAGACAGAACAATAAGAGAAGTGGAAAGAAAAGTATGGTGGATGAAGGGCACTCTTTTCTTTTATGAGGTCAGCAAAAGCTCCCCGAGGGAGAAGATATTTAGCCAGGAACTTGACTAATGTCAAGGTTGGAGCTATGAAAATGTCTGGGGGAAGAGGAACTTGTCACTGGAGAAGTAGTAATTTTACATATAGTTTGTTCAAATCAAGCAACTAATTAAGAGATTAATCCCCTTATTTGTACCAAATGGTTTAATGATAGCAAAGGTTAAAGAGAAGACTGAACTACTTAATCTGTTTTTGTCTTTTTAACCAATGTAGGACAGTATTTAAAAATAACAGGAAAACCAAACAATATTAAGGGATAAGAATGTAGCTGGATAATGTTTAGACACATTCAATGAGTTAAAACTCCTAGAATCAGATAATGTATAACCTGCGCCTTTCAGAAATCACTGACCATGAGACAGCTATCAGAGGTAAGGACATAGACAGATACATGTTTTCATTTTCAGGAATAATGAGGAATTGCAAAAATTATACATTAATGATGCACAGTTAATCTACATTTAATAGGTAATTTGTCAACATTTCAGTAGTCGCTAGAAGTTAACGTGAGTGTACTGTAGGAAGCAATGCTGGACCAGATTTCCATTGCTGTGGCAAAATAACTGAAAGAATCAAATTTAAGGGCAGAAAAATTTATTTTGGTTTACAATTTCAAAAGTCTCAGTTGATGGTTGCTCCGTCCTGTTACTGTGGGCCTGAGCGAGGTGGTACATTGTGGTAAGGTGTGTGGCCCAGCAGGACTTTTCATCCCATAGAAGCCATGGAACAGACAGAGGGAAAGGAAGGGCCTAGGGCCCCAGAGTCCTCTTCCTGACGAGCTCACTTCCACTGGACTCCTTGTCCCCAAAAGTCCCACACCTCCTATGCCCATGCTTTCTACACATTTGGCCTTTGGTGGACATTCCAGACCCAGACCATAGCAAATGCTAATTCACTTTCAGTTTTGAAAGGTTCCTACTAACAGAGTGAATCAGGTAAGTAGCATTGAATAGTGTAATATTTTTGGTAATGCATTCAACAGTCTCCCATGATATGCCTGATAAGAAGATATGAGCTATGCCTGGATAATGGTATTTCTATTTTTATGTGCATTCATAGTTCACCAAACTACTCTACTTTACATTCTGTAATTACGGAGTTAGTTCTATCAGATCTCAAGGATCTAACTTTATCTATATCCTCCTCAGGATCTTGGGAGTTAAGTTGAAGTAATTGTGTCATGATTATTTACAATGTCACAAAATTATGTGGTAGCAAACAGAATCAATATTCAAATCAACTCTGATAACTAGATTTCTTTATTGAGACTGGAACATAAAATTTAACAGAAATATTTCTAAAAGCCCTCTGTATAAGTGAGAGAGAGGGGGAGATGTACCCACCATAAATGTGGGAGACATCACTTGGTGGTTTATCTGAACTAAATCTGTAAGTTGCAATTACTAAATTATTAGTATACATCAAAGATGTGAGTTGTTCTTTGAAAAGCAAAAGCCGTCCTAAATTGAATAGAATGCAAGTGACAAAAAGTAGTAAAGCCAGTATTATGTTTCAGTTTGATGTAAAATGCTTGCACCAAAAAAATATTTATTGCATTGCTACCACATACTTTTAGACATGATTATCTCTCTTCAAGGAGATTCCAAGTAATAAAGGGAAATATGCTTTAAAAGAATAAAGAAAATGTAGGGTTCTACAAAGGAAATAAAAAAGGAAAGAGGAAATAAATTAGTATTCAATATCCTCTGTGCATCCAAATAGTGCTTTATTTATATTATTTTATCTTCACAGCAACCATATGGGGTTGTTGTTATTACCTCTAATATCTCGATGAAAAATGTTAAAAGAGGATGAGCAAATTTAAAGACGATAGAGATATCACTCATTTGGAGATCAGCAAAGTTTCCCTTGCAAGAGATTTTATTTGAACTGAATCTTGGAAGAGAGAAGGATTTAGATTTTGGGTCAGGGGAAAAAAAAAAGCATGACAATAAATACAAAGCAGAAAGGTGGTGGATTTATTTGGAGGAGTGTACAAAATCTGGTCCAAGCAAAGGGGAACATGGAAAACTAAATGTTGGAAAGGCAGTTTGGAGTCGAAGGGTGAAATACTTTGACTGTCAGCTAAGAGTTTGAATTTTATTTGCCTAAAGATTGTTTGATAACGATACCAAGAACTGACATAAAATCAAGGGAGAAAACACTATGGAAAAGAGATTATTTGCTTCAGAACCAATGAGGCCCGTATTGTAGGAACATGGAAAAGAATGTGGGCTTGACACATATTTATAGAGATAGGAGGTATTGGACTTGGTAACTGGTGGAATTTAGAGGCCATAGAAAGTGAGGCGCTGATGATTACAGTTCAGCTTGGACAAATGGGGAAAGAGTGTTTTCCTTAACACAATAAACTCCAAACAAAACAGATTTAGAAAGTCAGTGAAGAGTTCAGCTCTGAGATGAGCAAATGTGTGACACTCATGTCAGGCACATTCTACCTTATGCTGCCCAGCATGAGATTTCTAGGCAGGAATCTCTTTTAAGGGAACAATGATCAAATAAGATTTATGTGAAAGAACCCATCCAGGATGGAGAGAGCCCAGCACATAAAGTTATTTGAAGATCAAATTTTAAGAGAAATAAAGAATTACTGAGCTTCTTAGAAACATCCAAGAGGCCAATAGGTGCACACAAACATTTTAAATGTTGTTTTGTAGTAAACCAGGTAGATGTGTATTTGACTGATCCAGAGGACAGTTTTGTTGTAATTCCATTAAGGTCCTGTTGGCTGTTACTAGATAGGATTGGAGTTGAAAGAAATTATCAACACACCTCAAGGAAAGCCTGTCCTCTGCACAGAAACAGGTCTCCAGTGGCATTACATCTTCAGTCCCCAAGTAAATCTGTAGTAGAAAGTTCACCTGGGATGGAAGAGGCAAGGGTTCCAGGAGGAGGCCTTAATACAGGGCCAGATTCTGCAGTGGTGGTGAAAGCTAAGCCCTGAACAATAGGCCTTGGACTTGGCATTCAGCATTATTTCATCATAAAATTTTCAGTTGAGTGTCAAAGAAGCACATTCAGTTACAGAGGATTTAGGTACGATAGGTAAGAAGAGAACAGTGCCAGGTGATAAAGGAAATCTGATACAATGTTTTTCTTGCACAGAGATGCAGATAGTTAAATTATTAGAATTACCATTTTTAATAATTAGGTCATGACCATATATTCAGTTTTTCAAATGAAAAGTCAAGTAAATATACCTGAAGTTCAGAGAGGTTTCACATTTCCATTTTTAATAGGAATTTTGGGTTGAGAAAGAACAGATTTTTATTAATATTTGAAAAGGAAGACAGACTTTTATATGTGTCTTCATTTTCTACTTTATCCTAAAGATGAAAATAAAAGTCATGGAGAAAAATAGAAAAGGTAATATTCAGAGGCTGGGAAAAGTCTGGCCATTGCCCCAGGCTGTTTTTACAGAAACAAATAAAAGTAAGAGTTGAGCAACTGCCCAGCAATGTACTCAGCAAACATACAGTCTTGGTAATCTAACACATATCTGTAGCAGTTGGAATACTGGTATTTGAGGCATTTGTTCAAATTTATTATTTTGCTTGATTTTTGAAATGAACAACTTCTCTCCTTTCAGCACCAAGTCTAAAGTTTAAAAAATGTATTTCTAAATATACTGAGCTTGGTGTCTTTCTATTGACATGGAGGATAATATAAGAACGTTTATATAATATAATTTAAAACAGAAGTCTCCATTTATAATACCGATTTCTTCATAATTAACAACTTATCTAAAATTCTCAATAATTAAGGAGGAAAGAGATTTTCAATTTTCTCTAATTGCTGGAAGTCACGAGAAGCAAAAACTTTATGAGGTTGTGCACAGGAGGCATTGCAATGGCTGCCTCAGGAGGAAAACATCATCTTAATTCCTTGTTTACTGAGAACTGGGAGGTAGAACAAATATAAGAAAAACTAGATTATAAAGTAAGGGTCCATAAGTTAAAGATATGAGAAAAGAGCTGAGAAAAAGAAACATTTTTTCAAAAAGAGTAGAATGTGCAGATGAGTAGTGGTAAAATTAAAATATGCTTTGCCACAAAAAATGGATAAAATTATCAACACTTCATAACTCTAATGTTTAGTTGCATTTTTATAATACCACTGCTTATGATAAAACACAGCTTTGAGCCATATTCATTGAATGAATGTTTAGGCACTTCAGAATCAAGCAACCAGGTTGGAAGTACATCATTTCTTTCATGGCAAACACCAAGCACTGAAATCTGTGGGTCTTGATGAGTCATAGGAGTAGGCCGATGATAATACCTGTAGATAGCAAAAGGCCCAAATCTCATGGAGTTGCTTTGTAGTTAGCAAGCCATAAATGATCAGTCATATAAGTAGTCAAGCAAAGATAGTATTTTTATACCTGATATGTAGTCTTTCATATACATAAATGCTGTGGGTGGTGTTTATTTCTTCTGAGAAATAAATTTACTGATTAGGAGATATAAAATTGCACTTTTCAGAAGCATAGAGCTATTTAATTTGCATGTAACAATGCATAACTGCAGATGCCAGCGCTAAAAATACATGAACTCAGCTTTTTGAAAAGAACCTTATATATTTGTATTTTACTCAACAGGTTTTTTTTTCTCTTTTATTTATCTAGTAATGGTATTCCATACTATAAACCTGGAATCGTTTTTAGAGTGGAATGTGATGTTTTGGGTAAAAATTATCTTAGTGCTGGTCATTAGATATAATAAACTCTGGTACTAATGACATGACATTCGTAGCTTCAAGAGATGACACATATAAGAACACCCAAGCTTAAGAACAAGCCCTCCCATTCACACACATGTACACCCCACACCACATATCCAGGTTATTAAATCCTATTAAAAATAAAGAGGGAAAATAAGCACTATTGAGGCCACATCTGCAGAGCTGGTTAATGGAAAGGAATGGAATGCACTGGTATCAAAGGAAAATTTAAAATTACAAACCCAGATGTCTTCATCATGGTGAAAGGCATAAATTCCAGATTTTCCCAGAGATCCAAACCTTGGGATCTTCCAGAACCCACCCTAAAACCTTTCAGATTTCAACCCCAAGAGATTTTTGTCTCTTAAGAGAATCTTTGGCTAGCTCCTCGCATACCGATTCCTTGCAAAGCACCGGTCTGAAAAAATTTTAAAAACGTCTCAGTAGAGAAACCTAGATCATCGTTATGATTCTACCCGGTTTGTCTCCAGATCTCTTGTTACATATTAAACCGAGGAAGCATGGAAACTTCCTACCAGATATTATGGGAGAAGTATCAGCAATCTGCACACAAAATATCTTTTTTTTTATATAAACAACTGCATCAGCAGCTGCGGAAGCGTCAAGGCTCTCTGTTCTTTGGAATTTGAACTCCCGGGACCTGCCTCCCTCCTCCACCTCCGCAGACCCCTCCTCTCCCTGCTCGGAGACCGGAGCCCAGGACGGCCCCTCCCCGGCCCCGCCCTGAGTCTGAGGTGCTGGATGAGGGGAGGTGGTCGTGGTGGGGAAAGTAAGTTGCAGGCAGCCGCTCACCTTCCATGCCTGTTGTCATGGAGATGGGATCCTGCCGGTGAGTCAGTGCTCGCGATCGCTTCAGCACCGTGCGAGGCGCGCTCTGGGCACCTGCGTGGGGCCACACGACCGACGGCGGCGACACGCTTTCCTGGCCTGCGTGTGTCAGTGCCTGTGTCTGTTGGTGTAGACAGAGGGCCTGCCCCCCCACCTGCCCCCCCACCCCAAAGTGCTTGTGCACGCGCCTGTGGATCTGCAGGAAAAGGAGTGTGGCAGTGTGCAAACTCTCGCGCGCGCGTGGGCGCGTCTGGCCTGGGCTGTGTGCAGGACCGAGAGGAGAGGAGGGATGGCCACCCCAGCAACAGGCTCTGTTCCTCCTCTTACTGAAAAGAAAGAGAAGAAAAGGCTAGGCACGTATTCCCGCTCACCTCCCACCCTGAAGGCTGGCTACTAGGCGCGGGATCACGGTTGCGTCCTAGCCCGGCGGGGGTTAACGCATTTCTTGCAAAATTCCTCGCTTTCGTGCCCGAGGCCTCCCAGCTGTGCCGCGGGCATTTTGATGTGAGGGGAGACGGCCTCGCCGAGCAGGAGGAGCTAAATGCAATCTAGTTCCTTCTCAGGGTAAAGGAAAAGCGGGGTGGGAGCGCCAGTCTGTGTTGGTTTAACCCGAGACAAAATGCGTCACTGGGAATTCTTTTCCCTAACCCTTCGGGACTGCGCGTCCCTCCCCCTCCCAAGGGCCGGAGCCTGAGCGCTGTCCGGGGTGCTGAAACCTGCGTAGTAAGAACTGGTTGCTAGAACACATCGAGATGAGCAAGGAAGGGTCCAATAAAACCCTCTGGTGTCCGCGGGGTACTTTTCCTAAATAGCTGAATATGTCGCTTGCACATAAATCACGCTGGAAGCAAAGCGGAACAAATCAAAACAACAGAACATCCCCCGCTTTAGAGCTCTGCTTGTTTCCCCAAACCCAGGGTTAAGTTTCCCAGGCCTACCCATGTTTGACCCTATATCCAGAAGCTACAATTTGCATGCACCTGTAGATTTCCCTACACATTTCATCATTCACCCTATGAACTATGGAACTGTCAGTGTTTGGGGGGAATATAAATACAGAACTGGAACATCATTCGTGTTTCAAAAACTTAAAAGCTGAGAATATGTGAGTGAGCCGGTTAGAAGGTGAAGGCAGCATTTATGATGATTTGAAGTATTTACTAACTTACTAAATGTAATTATCTTAAAAAATTGGACAAAGTATGATAGGGGTCGTACAAGAAAAGAGTTTCCCTTTCTAATTTAAAGCTATCAAAGCACTCTAGAAGGTTAGCTCACTGCTCATTACGAAAGAGTGGAAGATCGTACCTTCTTTTAGCGACATTTTCATAGCTATGGTTTTATTGACTTTAAAAAACTTATTAAGGGCCACACTTTAAATACTCTGGACTAGAACAGTTCTTCTTGAAATTTAATTCAGATGTGAGTCAACCTGAGGATCTTTCAAAAATAAAATGCAAATTCTGATTTAGTAGGTCTAAGATTGGGTCTCAGAGTTTCCATTTCTAAATGATTGATGCCAGAGATCGCTGGTCCTGGAACCACACTTCCACTAGTAAGGTGCTGGTCAGACTGCCTTCTGGCAACACTGTTACTCATGATTTCTGAGAAAGGATTTCATTATCTTTCCTGTAGTATTCTGTTTCTAAAGTGTTCTTGCAAGAACAATCTATTCAAATCAGCCCAAAAGTTAACCATGTAAACCTTTTGTTTGTACAGTGTTACCAAATCATTTGTAAATTTGATTGATTTAATTTTCACATCGTTTGGACCTATGCTACAGTAAACTCCACTCCACCATTTACAAGCACTCATTCTCCTTGTAAACCCAGCTCAAAGGAAGAGAATCAAGTTACAAGAGTCCATTGCTCATATATATTAGCTCTGTTTGAAGAATTTGTTATGTTTGGGGATTTTGACTTTCAAACTGTAAATACTCATGAAGCTGGTTTTAGAAATCTGGATGTCACAGATCCAATTCTCACCCAGTTTAGAAAGGTGGACTGGATGATTGTTTCATAGATCATGTGTGTAGCTACTGACATATTCCTGACATCATAAACATACAAGGTGCTATTGGAATGTGTGGCGAATGGTCAATTTAAAAATACTTGTTACAATAAAATGCACTTTGGCATTAATTCCTTCAAAATACTCTCCCTTGTTTCAAACACACTTATCCCATCATTTTTGACACTTCCAGAAGCAACTCTTGAAAAGCAATTCTGAAAGCCTTTATCTGTGTCTTTATTTGCAGTCATGGCTGTCATGGCTGTCTTGATGTCTGGAATTGATTCAAAACATTTACCTCTCATGGTCATTTCGATGTTGGGGATGAGCCAGAACTCACGTGGTGCCAGATCTGATGAATAAGGTCATAGAGGACACACTGTAAATTTTAAAAAAACAAACTGGCCTCTCCGTCGGATGACATTTGACAATAGCTTTCACCATATTTTTTTTTAATCACACCGTAAAGACACTCACCAAGGAGGACTTCAGATCTGCTTTCAAAAGAGGCAAGAATGATGAGATGAGTGTGTTTGAACAGAGTAGTATTTTGGCAATTAATGGCAATGTCTTTTACTGTAGTAATTTTTAAAAGTTTAAATATTCACTATATGTTGATAACGTCTCATACATTGATTTTGGTGCCTGCTTTGGCTGATTTTCTGTTTTTAAAAAGTCCATACCTACATCATTTCATACAGTGCTTCCAGTTAATGCTCTTGAATTGACACCAAAGGCTTTAGCTATAAATTAGGTTCTTTGGTGTTAGGTGGTACATGATCTTGACCTTTTTCAAGCTAAATAAAGGGAGGTAACACTCTCAAAAGTCTGCAAAGTGGCTCATTTTGGAAAGCACAATGGATTAAAAAAAAATCCATTACATTCCATTTCCTTTGCTAGATGCTGGGATACAAAGATAAATGAGACTGCTCTTTGAAACATTCCATTTCCTTTGCTAGATGCTGGGATACAAAGATAAATGAGACTGCTCTTTGCCCTTGAGGACATAAATTGTAATAAACAACATGGCAAACTCTACAAAGTTCATAGAAACAGAGAAATTAATATGCTATTTATATTTTACTGTACACTGCCAAAGAAGTGATAAAGAATTACAAAAGGTGAAACAGAACAGTTGCACTTCAAGTTCTTCTCCAACTTAAAAAAACTGTTGAAGGATATTAAATGTATGAATGCTCTCCTAAAGCTTATGTGATTTATCTACACTTCCAGAGAGACTATGATTTATCTTCAGAGCAATACAATTAGAAAGGTAAATAAGTATATGTGTGGCATTTTTGTATCTTCCAAAGCAGAATTGCCTTTAGTATGTCTCGCCATTATGTGCCCAGTTTAGACAAAAATGTTCTATAAGAAACAGCTCTCAGTTTATACACCTTCTCCATAGGGCTGTCACTAAAGTGTTCATCTATATGCCACTATTTGTTTTTAGTAAGATACCTAAGGAATTTAACTCCTTTAAATATTTCCTCAAAAACACTTCTTTCAATATCAACTGTATTACTTGACTTTTTACACTTTTTCTCCTCAAACCAATCCAGGGTAGATGGTGTTTTCTGTTCTTATATCACATTTTACCATTCCTTTTAGTTGCCAAAGATGTGAAAGTCAACAGAACAGCTAAAAAATAATAAAAATCTCAAGGATTTTTTTTTTACTTGTAATCTTTCTCTATTGTGTTAGATTCTTGCTATGGTTTAGATCTAAATTGTTCCCCAAAGTCTCATGTTCAGAGATGGAGCTTGTTTGGAGGGGGCTGTGAGCATGGCTGGGAAGGTGGATACTCATCCTGACCCTTTCCTTTGCTCTATTTCCTGACTACCATCCAGGGTACAGCTTTCCTCTGTCAAACCTTTCGGCAGCTGTCCATGGACTAAACCCAGTGAAACCATGAGCCAAAATAAAACTCTCCTCCTTTGAGTTGTGGGTGTCAGAGGGTTTTTTCCCAGCCACAGGAAAGTGACTGACATACTACTGAAATTTGGTTTTCTCTGATAATGGTACGTTATTTTGTTTTATTTATATAAATGTCCTCATAAAATCAGAAATGGAATAAATAAATGTGTTTACTTGCAGCCTCAAAATGTTGACTACTGAATGAGTACAATGATTGTTTTATAAATTTCTTTTTAATGGGGTACTAAAATATAGAAAAGCATGTCAGTAATTAGCTAAGGACATAAAAATCTAAATCACAATGAGTAAATATTAAAATGTTAAATAGGTGGAAGAAATTTTGAATTTGCGTAATTACAGGTCAGGTTAACCTCAGAGCACTTCATTTCTCTGTTTCGTTTCTAAAGTGGTACTAATAATGTTCCTTATATGAGTAGGACTTTTTTGTTATGTCAGAGTTTGAATACATTAATTATCTACTTTATTAGAAGACATGATGACTATAGGAATTTACAAAGCATGACAACTACATTCTAATGAATATGCACTAGAAAGGGTGTCAGAAACTAGAAGAAAGAATTTTTCTAACATTCAGCTCAGGATTCTTTTTTCATTTTTTGGTACTGGTGATCAAATGCTGGACCTTGTGCTTGTGAGGTAGGCAGTGGAACCACTGAGATAAATCCCCCTCCCAGCTCAGGATTCTTTTCAGAGGAAAATTTTGCTTGCATGAATTTTTGCACCTTGGCTCCAGTTGGCTTCTTGCTGTGTGGTTTTGTACAGCTGGATCACTCCCTGAAGTTATAATAAGGCCAAGATATTACTTTGAATTTTTCAGGAAAAATCTACATCTTGTCTGGCTGAAGTTTGATGGTTCTTTCTGAGATAAAAAGTTTAATGTAGATATGGCCTTTTGTTTGATAACTACCATTGACTGAAATATTGGATTGCACAACTTTGAAATGCAAAATATTTTCAAATGTGTTAAAGACAAACACAAATTATTTGTGGTATGACTATTTGTTAGAGTAATGCTTACACCAGCTTTAGGTGATATTTGATAATTAGCTATATTAAAAAGTTAAGTTTTAAAATGCACATCTACCTATTTTGAGTCATTTTTAGTTATGCATGCTTCTTTTTCCTGTCTGGATTGTTTTAACTTTTTTTGAAGGATGTTTAAGAATGATTTTGAAATTTCAGGAAGAAATTTATACTTCCTCTCTAAAAATACATCTGTATATAGACATCTTGTTCATGACTCAGGCATTCATGGACATTCAGAAGCTCAATTCTGTAATCCTACTTCTCCTCTATGTGCACAGATCTTAATCTCATTTCCAGCTCTATAACTAAAATCAAGTGGCTTATTTTGTATTTTAAAAATTATTCTATAAGTTTTCTATTTTTTTCTGTAGCATTCTTCCTCTAGGTCATTTTACCATTGATCTCTCAAGAGTAGTCAATGATGAATGTGCTGAACATGGATTACAGTGTACAGTAATAGAATGATTAGATTTGATTAAAAAATGACTGTGTTGGATTTGTCAAGAGTGAAGAGATTACCTAAGTGAGTGGACTCATGGGAGAATTGAGCATGACG